CATTAAAAAAGAGGATCCAATTTGCCAATGACATCTCCAACAAGCAACTAATTTATAAAATTTTTAAAATCTCAACACCTAACAAGATAAATTCCATTTAAAAATGGGCAGTGAACATGAACAGGTATTTCACCAAATATTCAAGTTATCATAAAGGGGGGGGGAGCAAACAAAGCTATTTATCATTAGCCATTGTTGTTACGTGCAGTTAAGTCGGAAATGACTCATCACTGATCCTCTAGTAGACTTTCAGAAGCTATAAATCAACAAATTTCCCACTTTTTTCCTTTGGAGCAGCTGGTGGATTCGAACCACCTGGCTTTGGGTTAGTCAATTCCTTACCTCTAGGCCACCTGAGCTCCCTCATTAGCTGTTAAGAGATGCAAATCAAAGCAATATAAAATGGGGATAATTGCAATAATTATTAGCAATAATTGCAGTATTTTGTTAAGATAGAAAACAAAGTGAACATCAGAGCTATTGAAAGCTTGTGAAAATACAATGATCAGTTTGTACTCATCTAAGGAAGATAAATTGGTAGATTCAAAGACACTATAGGACTAACAGTCTTCATGAACTATGGCTGCAGTACCTTGAGACATTAATAATGATACTAACGATGACCATTCTGGGTAGGCCAACAATGGATGGATCTTGGTAAAATGGGAGAAAAATGTGACATAGAACTAAGATTCTTACTATGACTCAGGTGCAAGTTTTTTTAACAAATTGGTCTTCTGTTCAACAACTCATCTATTTTGCTTTTGTTACACTGACTGCAATCTCAACATGTCTTTCCCTCTTCCTCCCTGTAAATGTTTCCATGCGTCCCTCTTTATTATCATTTATTAGTGTTAACTCATGGGCATTTGTTCTTCTGTTTGGAATGTAACTCAATACTATATTTATTTTGCTGATTCAACTTTGCCTTGGAAGCAAACAAGGGCAGGTTTATGTGCCCTTTCAATATAGGCTTTTAAGGTAAGCGTTTCTGGTGCTTCCCTCTAAGCTCCACATGCACTTTTTCTGCCCCAGTCCTCTGATCAAGGACTTCTCCAGAGTCCTGTTTCCTTTAACTGAATTTATGTGCCGTCGAGTCACTTGAGACTCATAGTGACCCTATGTACAACAGCTCTAAACCTCCTCTATCCTGAACCAACCTTATCATCTCTGACACATTACCTACCCATCACCCTAGTCACTGAGTCAATCCATCCCAGAGTCTTGCTCTTTTGCACTGTCCCTCCTCCACCCTACCAAGCATGATGACTCTCTCCAAGAACTAGTTCCTCCCTGCATCATGCCCAAAGTATGTCAGACGAAGCTTCAGAATCCTTGCCTCCAAGGAGCAGCCTGGTTTCACCCTCTCTAGAACGAAATCTGTTCTTCTAGCAGTTCATGGTATATATGTAATCATCTTCTCCAGCGCCACAGCTTAAATGCAACAATTCTCCTTTCATCCCTAGTTATTGTCTAGCTTTCTGATGCATAGCAAGTAATTGCAAAGACCATGGCCTGTACCGGGCGCACCTTAGTCTCCATCCAGACTGACATTGTTTCTCTCTTCAGTATTATGGAGAGCTCCCTAACAGCAGACTTTCCCAATGCAATTCGTCTTTTGATTTCCTGGCTGCTGGTACCAAGAGTGTTGCTTTTCTGAAGCCAAGCAAACTGAAGCTGTTAACAATCTCAATCTCTCTTATCATGATCTAGAAATAAATGTCCAACTCCAGTTAAGCAGCACAAAATTAACTCTAGCCTCTTTTCTTATTTAGAACTTCTTCCACTGAGAAACCTAGCTCATTATCTATACATTTAGTTATTTCTTCAACAAATCAATATGCGGAAAGAGTCAATTTTGGAATTTCTAACCTATGCAGCTATGAGCAACACATTTACCAACTAAAGAGTTTTTTTGTATGTCAGGTGTTTGTGAGTTTATTTACAAGAATTCAATCTATATGTAAATTGAGAAGTTTTAATGTACCAATTAACTGTAGCTCTCTTAACAGTGTTTTTTTAAGAAAATAGAGAAGACAAAAAACCTGATTATTGACTTATGTGGTTTTAAAGCTAAAGAATACAATTTGGACTGGAAAGCAAAAAGGGTGCTCCTTCTTTCCTTCATGGCTTACCTTGGACCAGCGTAGGAGAACTGGTGCACAGAGCACACTGAAGTGTGCTTTGACTCTCCTGTCTGGCTCAGGAGAAAAGGCCAACGTGTGTGAACACTATGGCTTCTAAAGAATGTTGTTAAACAGAAACACAGGCAACTTAGGGAGGTAAAGAAATGACCCAGCCTCTCCTCCCACAAACAGCTATGTACCAGACATGCTAGGCCCAGACCAGAGTAATTTTAGGTTAAAATGTTATTAGGTATTGTTGAGTCAAAACCGACCCAAAGTTGACCCTCCAAGGGGTTTTCCAAGTCAGTATAATTACATGTGAGAAGATGCTCTCCTTAATCCAGCTTAGCAGTTGCTGGAACTGAACCAGTGATTCCTGGTTCACAGCATAGCTTCTTGTCACTAAGTCACCAGAGCTCCCTCAGGATAAAATAGCCATGACTGTTCTGAAAGGTATCAGGAATCTGGTATAAAAAATTTTGATTAAGAAACTCAAGAACATTATTTCTTTAAGTAATGGCTATAAAAGACACCTTGACCTAAATAAACATGCATACATTAAAGTCTAATGTATTCTTAGCAAACTATTTGCTTTTTCTAAGCTGGATGTCAACAAAACATACACAGACTGAAAAGGTATGTATTTATGGGCACAAAAAATTTTAAAAACCTTGCAAGCCAATAAAAAGTATATAAAAATACCAAATAAAAACACACAAATACAATGGACAGCAATACTGGATTCTGGAATGAAAATGCTTTGCTGTTCAGGAGAAAAGGTTTCTACAACTTCCCCCCTAGATGCACCAGATATGCCAAAATAGCGAGTTCTGCCAGTAGCAAAGTGTTTACTTAGTAAATGTGGCATTAGCTGCCTGACAATGCTCATCCTCCAGGTCCTAGTGCTCTCCTGCAGCCAGCTGACGAAGGTTTACGCCTGTGAGAATGCAGCAATTCCTCCTAACTGCAACTAACAGGGAGGTTGTTTCTAGAGGCAGTTTGCTGAAATCATTTCAGTCAGGAAGACACTGGATCGCTTCTTGCATTTGAGCCTAAGAGCATACCAACCTAGAGTGGATAGGAACACTGGTGGCTTACAGAGAAGAAGTTGCACTGCCAACCCAAAGGCACAGTTCAGCAGGGGAAAGATGGGCAATTTCCTGTCATGTAACTTGCTGTCTCTGAAACCCCAGTGGAGAACCAACTATGAATTAGTTCCGACTCCATGGTATATCACAAGAGTAGTCATGGGGTAGACTTAGGTAAAAGTCCCCAGCATTACTTTATATAGTTAGACATGCACTTAAGATTGCCATGTTTTCAAGGAACATCTGTCATTTAGACTCAGAAGATAATGTATAGACAACAGTTGGGAGAGTTCTGGTAGAATAGTCCCTAGGGAGATATAAATGCTAACCTAAAGGCCAAGAGTCTCTGTTAGTTCAAATCTGGCGGTGCCACTTAAGTCTCCTCCCATTAGGATTTAAAGTCGCAGAAACCCGAGGGAGGGTCTCTAGGAGTCAGAAACTACTTCATAGCAGTGAACTTGCATTTTGAGTGATTACAAAAGATCAAAATACTGTGGATTTTTATTTTCTACCATTTTACTTACGGTGTTATCTATACTCATAATAAATGCTTTTCTTTTCCAAAAAAGCAAAGCATGTTACAGAACACTGTTTTCTATTCTTAGTGCAATGCTTTCTTTCTGACTAGTTAGGGTAATCAGTTTAGTTTTATCTTCAAATGATGACCCCCTATGTGGAGTAACTCAATCTAGTAGCCACAATAATTTCTTAAACTTAAACCATCTTATTACACTAGTTGCACACTGCAAATATTCTGAATGTTAACACTCCTACAGCTAGACTTTTCATTACATGGTATTTGGGTTAATATAAAAATAAACTGTCACTACTCACTATTTTTAAAACAAACCAATTAATATGAAGTATTGTTTATAGCTGTTATATTCACTCTAATTTGCAATTTACTTTTTAAAAAATATGGAATAAAGGTATAAATCAGTCATATTGTGCCATGCATAATGACACATGGAATGTACCAATGGGGAATTTTACTATCATCCCTATTATAGAACATTCATAGTAAGGTCTCTTAATAATCAGGGATTTAAAACATTACCACCCCTCATGCTTTAGATCTTTGGATTTCTGACAAAATTATCTAACCAGTGCTAGATAATGTGTAATAAAATTAGTAATTACTATGGAGTACTTAATTACTAAGGTTAAGTGTATGAATAGAAGAAACATGGAATAATAAAGTATCAGACTTACTTTGAAAGAAGATACCTTTAAACATATGTATATTCAAATGTTTACAGTTAATTCTTTAAAACAAATACACACACAAAAATACTCTTGCTACCTCTCAATTTAAGTAATCCTTTTGTAGAACCCAAATCATATTTTTAAGTAAAAAAACATTCATAGAAAGTTTCATTACAAAGTGGGATTTTTTAAAAAGCCCATAATACATAACTGAATAAAAAGAAAAGATTTAGCTCCTGCCTCCTATGTTCAACATTAAATTCCCGGCAGAGAAATTAATTTATAGGTCTTAATTTCTGAAGTACTGATAATAGTATCTTCACTACATATGTCTGTCTACAGAGTTGAAGTAAAAATGAAGCAGTAAAATGCATGTTCACAGTATGTAAAGAAAGTATATCTTCTAGAAACATAAAAAAAACAAAAATTTTAATTAAAAAAAATTAAACCATGGTTATTTAAAAACTGATTTATTCTGAGACTGTATGGTAGTTGACCATTAGCTCTAAGCTCTAATCTGTTAAGATAATGAACATATATGCAACTATTCAAAACTCTGATATAGACAGGAGACAATTTCGTCCCACATTTATGTTTATTAAAAACTGACAAAAACAAAACAAAATCTGTACAAAAAAAATCCCAAATCAACTTAACCCTTTGAAACAGTAAATCTTGAAAGACTTTATCGCCTAGGCCCCCCTCTTCCTCTGCCACGGCCACGTCCTCTTCCTCGACCTCGGCCTCTTCCTCTTCCTGCGACTGAGGGAAAAGAAAATATAAAGTTAAAATCTCTTCTGCACCAGTGTTACCTAAGTCTACCACAAACAACATTTAGACAGACAAGCGCGCGTGCGCACACACACATTATACTTCCCTCCCCTATTATTGTTCTTAATGAGCAAGCATGATTCTCTGAGATGTTGTTTCATATGTATAAGTGGGTCATGCCGAAAAAAAATGTATTTATTGTCAGTATAAGGCAAAGAGCCTCAAAATGATTATTATAATGAATGCCTGCAGATCACATGCTACCAGACAAGGATCTCCCAAGGCAGGAGACTGTAAATCTTTGAGTGAGAAAACCAAGCCTAAAAGACATCCAGATACTCAAAGTATGGGTCTCAGTGAAGAAGCCAACAGTCTTCTGAAGCCCCCTATAAGGAGAATCCAGCCTCTTACCCTGCAACTTCTCTTTTTAGTAACTTTCAACTTAATGCATAATGGCTCAAATTCTCAAAAAACTTAAATATAAGAGACTTAATGTAAGAGACCAAATGGAGAGATCAAATAAAAAAAATCAGAGGAAACAATCAAAACCATATATAAAATGTCAAAAAGCAAAACGATAATAATGTCCTACCAGTGATAAGAAAACTATTCTTCTAGCTGTAAAATGAGAATAGGTTTATGCCAAAAAATTGATCATATATCAAAGAAAAGTAAAAAATACATGCTAGTCTGAGAAAACAGAAAAAGGTAGAGATAAAAGACTTAAAGAAGGCAAATGTCCAATTATTAAGAATTCCAGGAAATAATAAAAGGACACAAATGAGAATAAATAATTAAAGATACGCAAGTAAACGTCTTACCTCTAAAAGGTAAGAATATACACAGCAAAGGTCCCACCAGAAAAACAAGGTGTGTTAGGGAAGGAAGAGACCTCACACAGCAAGCCCTGAAAAAGTTCAAAACGCCTGAAAAGCTCAGAAACTTCCCAGGTTGGGGCAAAGGGGGAACTGAGTCATTCATAAGGAGGAATGAAAATATGAATGGTGCCAGTCTTTTTAATAGCAACACTAGGAGCTCAAACTTTGTGCTGATATGCAGACATGTCAAACATAGGGGACTGAGCTATAAAAAAGCCTTACTGTTTATAAATGTCCACACTTATAAGAGGGAATAATAACAATATGAAACCATTAAAAAAATAAGCAAACAACTTTTCAAACTTACCAGCTTCCCTTTTCTTAGATTTCACCTTAGGTTCAACATCCACAAGTAAGGTATCCAAAGGTAAGCTGTCTGGCAGAATGAAATACCGAATGTTATTTCCTCGAATACTCAGTGTCTCCAGTTGGACAGGCTCTCTATTCTTCAGTGTCATTTTCACAGCTTTAAGATGTGTATTCATGCTGACATCCTCACCTGTGATTGTTCCATGGACCTGTGTTCCATTCTTCAATTCAATGGTTACAGTTTCATGACTCAACTTCATCAAAAATCTCACGAGTTTCATCCTGGCGGCGCCGTCACCCTTTCTGCTCCGAAACGCACGAAACCAGAGGACAGAAGATCGAGCCGCTCGTGGAGATCTGGACGTAAAATGCCGTCTAGTCGATTCTTACTCATAGTGATCCTACAGGACAGAACAGAACAACCGCACAGAGTTTCCAAGGCTGTAAGTGTTACAGAAGGGGACTTTGGAAGCCTAAATTATAGGGAGTCACACTGCTCATTCCTAAGACCATGCCTCTCTGGCAGCTGACATCCATTAAAGGTCCCCCCAGAAGAAAGCTGGGTAGGCTCTTCCCAAATGAATTTGATGGGCCGGTTCCTCCCAAGGGATTTTCAGCCTTGGAAAACTCACTCGAGGGTCAGCTGTGAGTCAGTTCTAGCTTGACAGCAACAACTTTGAGATTTGGGTTTTGTTTTGTGGTTGTTGTTTTTTTAAATCTTTACAGAAGCAGATTGCCCTATCTTTTCCCCACAATCCTCTGGCAGATATAACATACTGACCTTTCCACTAACAAATGAATAATCACTTTCACCATGGGACCTCCTTCCTCTGTGTCATCAGACTGTTTGCTAATTTGAAAAGTAATACTTTATTGTTTTCTATTAGAGTTTTTGTAACCAGTTTGGTTCTCATGAACGTCTGCACAAGTTATTCAATGGCATTAGTGACATTTTCACGCTGTGTCAACTTTCTTATCAATTCTGCCTGTTCCATTTCCAGTAGTCTTTTTTCCTTGTCTCTTACTTTATCTTTTCTTTCTCATCAGATAATTGTAGTTAATACATACTCAAATTCTCTACTGTCGAATTAGAACTGACTCATAGCTGACCTTCCATTGGATTTCTGAGACTGTGAGTCTCACGTGATATTACCTATCTTTCTCCTTGGAGTTTTTGAAGTTACAATATTTGGATTAGCAATGCAGTTCCCCATGGAGTAGTCAATAAGTATTACTCATTAAATTATCATATTGGCTTTGTACAGATGGAAAATTGAGAATGGTTTTCATCTTATTTTACATATTTTGGTGAAGTAGAAGCTGAAGACGAAAATGAAATTTGGATAATATGACAAAGGAACTAAGAGAAATTTTTATTTGACTGGACCGTTATTTGTTCAGATGATATAGTTTTATTACCGACAAAGAGAGCACTGAAGGTTTTCGGCCAGGTCATCACCGAAACTGTTAGCACTTCGTATATCAGAAATTGAAACCCAGCCCCATGTGTGAGACTATTTGAGCCTGTATTTATAACTGTCTGGAAGTCTGTTGCTGAAATGAAAGATCTGTCTTTATTTGGGATCTTAGTCAAACTCTAGCAAATGGAAGGAAAGGGAGATAGATTCCAGTTAGCTTGCACTAGCCTAAGATAGGGCTTGGGATCAATGGCTTCACCTGTCACATGTTGCTCAGATTATTGTTGAACTTGGAGGGGTGTTAATGACATGATGTGAGGTCATCAGGTGGTACAAGTGGCTTGTGATAGATAGCTACTGACTTGAACGTTGGTGGTTCAAACCCAACTGGTAGGGCCATTGAAGACAGTCCTGATGCTGTGTAAAGATTACAGCCAAGAAAAAGCTATAGAACAGTTCTGCTCGTCCCATGGGGTTGCTTAAGTCAAAATTGACTCAATGGCAGTGTGTTTACTTTTTTGTTTAAGTGTTGTGTCATTTGTTTTATTCCTCCTCCTTCTCTTACTAATTTATATTTTAAAAAGTCCTATTTTTCTCTTTGTTGTTATGATATTAAAATGTACTCATCTTTATCTGTTATGAGAATGTCTTGAAGACTTGAATATTCTTGATTTATCCACAAGATAACCTGGCTTTCACCCGTGTTTATGGCAACGCTAGTTTTTCCTCTTCTAAATTCAGGTCCGACCAGTACCCAGGGACCGGTGCTCTGAGGACAAAGTTGACTGAAACCAAGTATAACTGGTGTTATTAAGCCTTTCTTACTGTACTTGTCAGCAGCTCTATCAGATGCCTTCACTGTGTGCCATCAGTCCTATCAGATGTTGTCCTGAGCAGACCATTATAAAGACTATGGGAAAGTAGTACGCAACATGGGTTCTGGGGTGCTGGGTTTTAGAAGGTAACACACACGTATGTGAAAGGACACTTTCATAAGCCCACTGGCTGGGATTTTCATAGTAGCTTTGGATTCTGGGCACTTGAGACCCTCCACTTTTTTTTTCTGAAATAACAGGAGGCAAGGAGAGGTTCTTTGTTCAAGGTTCAAGGTCTCTCGTGACCAGCCCAAAATAACCCACATGTAATACAGTAGGGCCTCATGCAAGCCTTCAGCCTGTCAGCGTCACCCTCGTCCTTCGTTCTCCTGTCCCAGTCAAGTTGCGCACTTGGATAAAACTTTCCGTCAACACTCAGGGTTACATAAACTCCTTATTTTTGCATTTCCAAATCCACTAGGAGTCTCCCCACCTTTTAAAGGGAAAGGTACATAAGCTTGACTTATCAAACACTCCTCTCCAAATAAGCTTTTCTAGGGGTTTACAATGTACTTCTCCCGGATTCAAATAGGATTAAGCCAACTAGATTTTTTTTTCTCTTCCGACAAAATCATCCTAGTTGGTTTCATTTTGCTGGAGGATCTTGCTTCCCTACTTGATCAGAGTTTACCAGCCCTTCACCCGCGAGGCTGTGTGCCGCACTTCAGCATGCATTCGTCCCACCAGCCAAGTTATTATGCTGAGTTGAGCATTAAAGAAATTTGATCGTTTCCTTGGTCTCTATTTTGGAAGATGGTGGAGCTTTATCCTTGGTGACAGCATGAAAACAATACTTAGACAAGGTTAACAAAGAGAAGAGGTTAAAATGAAAGGGGACAGTTCCAGATAGTTTGCTTCTATAGTTTATATCGAGGTACAGTATATAGGTTATGGGGGGGGGGAAATGTTTCTTGTTAACTGGGTAGTTTATGTTCTTAGGCACCATGAAGTCAGTTCTGATGGGCAGTTTATAGACTTACTATAAGATGATGCAGAACAATAGAGATAAACTATATGTGTATTATTGAATGTGAGTAATAGGCATTGGAAGAAGCGAAACTTACCAACAACATTGAATGTTTGTTAATGGAATTTCAGGTGATTTAGTTTTAATTTCCTCTTCCCTGTGGAATTTTCTTCCTTCAGCTCTATTTTTTTTAACATTATCTTGGTCCTTTGTATACGCTGTTACATAGCAGATGTACCGTGAAGTCGTTAATCTGACTTCTGCTATTGGACTGTTTATTCGTTCACAGTTGCAAACAGTGGCCCAGTGAGCATCCTTTCATGAAATTTTGAACATCTTGTTGATGAGGTTTTGTAGAATGAATTTCTAGAAATGTAAGCATTCACTGCAATCCCAGAGGTGCGTGGCTCGAATCCACTAGATGCTCTGCTGGAGAAAGAGGGACAATCTACTCCTGTACCAGTTAGACCTGATTTGATGGTACACACACAAAAATAATAAAACTTAAAAAAAAAAGAAAAAATGTTAAGTGTGGCTCCAAATAGGAGCTGGGGAAGGGGACAGATAGCCTTTCCAAGGGAGCATGACCCTGTGTTGGTGATTGGTATGAACCACACAGCCAGCTGCTACAGGCAGCAGTATGAAAAGACACTTGGGTTTTGTTCCAGAAGGGGAAAGAGTGACTTATTTTCAGTTTCATCACCAGTAGATGGCACTTGGTCTTTCTTTACATTTGACTAAAATCCCCCCAAGTTAAGATGCGTTCCCAGCACGTTACTGAGCCTGTACTAACAAAGCAATGATCACATCACGTACAAATGCTCCTGTCTCATTCCCCTGATCCCATGTTTGTATTGTTCTGGTTCCAGGACTCTGATACTTTAAGCCCGAGGCTCTAACTTGAGCAGGAAGAGTTTATTTTGGGATGAAGAATCTTCCCCCATAAGAGAGGCCAGCCTCTCGACCAGCGTCTGCCTCTCTCTTTAGAAACTGAGAAATTCTAGGGAGTGAAACCATTTTTATGAATTTGTAGGAGTGTATCTTTCTTCTAAATGAATATTTGATTAATGCCTTGGTCAGATTTATTCAGTATGGAGGGAAAATTATGGTTGTGTGGAGGTTGAGTGATTGTGTTGGGAGCATTTTTGGTTGGTTACACTCAGGAAAAGGACCCTATAAATCTCCTTAAGTATGTAGAGTTGATAGGGTAAATATCTACAAAGTATCCATTTCATCAAGCCCATAAATAGACACATTTAAAATGGCCAATGAGGAAGGAAGGAACAGCAAAATATAGTTCTAAAAAATGTGATGACACATCATTTTGCTTTGTGTTGAAACACTACTCCCTGGACATGTGTCAATATTCTTAAAAAAAAAAAAAAAAAAAGAGAGAGAGAGACAGAAAGTTAGAAAGGTTCACAGGAAAGTTTAGTATTGTTCTTTGTCAAAGAAAGAAATGTTTTGCTGAAAGACAATGTAACTTGTTTCCTATCACAGAAAATATGAATGACAACTGGCATGATTTCCTTTTTAAAAAAAGAAAAATATAGACATGTGCTGGTAGAGTTCTTGCCTCTCTAAATAAAACAATTCAGGCACATGAGATTTTCTTACTGTAGATAGGAAAGATGAACTTTGGAACTTGGTGGGGGAAGAATTGTTTGCGATACATCTGACCAATCATGCCATGTGACGCCGTGAAAATTTTACAGGCCCTTGGGAGAAGATTTTAAGGGTATAAGGGAGCTCTGGTGCCCTATGGGCAAGAAGTAACACTGCGATCTCGAAGGCACATGGTTCAAGGCTACCAGCTACTTTGTAGGAGAAGGATGGGCAGTCTCCTCCAGTGCAATTAACTGCCTCTGAAAACCCACCGGAGGGTCAGCCATGAGGTTCCTACTCTTTGGTGCTTGGCAACAACAACGTAGATCTCTATATTGTCCAGTGTTGTCATCACTATATTGCTTTTGGGTGTGCAGTTGAGTTGAAACTGATTCATAGCTGACCTAGAGGATTTTCAGAGGCAGTTCATCGCAC